AAGTGTAACATTTGACAGAAAAATGATCACAAGAGCTCCCCTAGGACAGTGAACTATCAAGATCAGAGGGCATCATACAGCAATAACACAGTTGAAGCCAAGGACAAACGTTCAATCAGTGGTCTTGACATTTCAGATAAGCACCCTGTTTTCTGATCACAGAAAGACCAACCACCAAACAGCCAACGCAAGGACCACAAGAAAAGACATCATGAAAGGAATACGAGGAGATGGAAAAGTACTAAAGTAGAGGTGGCACTTTTTGAGAGACTTGTGATCCTCAGGGATTGGAATAGAAACCTTGGGAAGAATTTCTTCATTTTCTTGCTGGGGCAAGGCTCTTTCAGTGGATCTTTCTTGCCTTTTAATTTTCTCTTCATCCTGTACTAACAGAGCACGTTCCTGTGTCTGCTTTCATGGTAGAAGATCAAGAAAGACAGAATAAGATGAACAAAATGACAGATGGAAAATGCTCAAAAATGATACTTGGGGATGTGCAAAGGATTTGGAAAGATCTTTTAGATACTATTTTAGCTTTACTTTATTTTGGCAATTTATCTTGGCAAAGTTTCTGTGACATAGGAGGGTGCTCAATAGATACTTTTATGAGTGAATGAACATTAGAACTGAAAGTTCAAGGGAATCACTGTCTTTCCCCTAGTTATATTATTTATTCTTCCTTTGAGGATATTCACATATTAATTTTAGGTCATTTTCTATTACTTTGGTGCTGCCAATCACTAATCGGGCAATGCCAATAATGAAGCATTCTTCTTGCCATCATAAAAGTTACTTTTATTACAAATAGAATGGCAGAATATAAAAAGTAATCCTCATATCTCTTCATATAGACTTTAAAAACGGCAACAGTTCATTCAGTATAGTAATTAGTTTTTGCTCAAGAAATAAAAATCTTAATCTTACACATTTTTAAAGATTGCAAAAGAAAAACAAAGTATAAAAGTTTATAATGTGCCTCCAAGGTTCACCAAAACAAATAAATAATAATGATTTTAAGGAAAGTTTTCCCCCGCCCAACTGTCCAATTGAGAAGTTTTTCTTCCTCCTGCAATTTCTGTACTCTGCTATCCATAGTCAAGATAGATGTTATCTATGAAAGGAAAAACTTGGCTCTAAGTTCTCTCAGTTGAGCTAGCCTTCTCTGATCAGTTTGGAAGTTCAGCACTGGTTCTTTGCACACCCCTAAGTGATATGTATCAGGGAGAAAGTAGCCAGGGGACTGGTCAGCAAAAAAGAAACAAGGAAAAGAAAGGATGCAAAATTACAATGATTTTTGAAAGAAAATAAAGGTGGAGAAGAAAGACAACATAAAAAGAATAGGGTATAATTAAATTCATTTTCTCTCTGAATACATATTTATATCTTCATGCAGCTTTTCAACCAGCCATGCGCCGAAATAAGCAATTAAAAGCTGCAAAAGCTGCAGCAGTGGAAGTGTTAAGTGTTAGGCCAAAAGGCTGTGGGTGTGAATTTACTAGTATAGCCAAAAGAAAAACAGTATTCAGCAGCTGTTGTTCAGTTCTGGGGGGATTATCTGCTTAGTGCCAATGACAAGAGCAAATTCTGATTGAGAAGCACAAGTCATAACAGCAGCTTTACCTCTGGCCCACCAACCTTTCTTTCCGAGGGAAGGATAGAAGTTTTCTTCACCTGGTCATACACAAATTATATAAAATTCAGTTGCCTTGCAATGCAACAACAATACTGTCAAAGGTGGAAGAGGTATCCCCAGAGAACAGAAATATTATTTCAATTGTTAAGGAAAAAGTAAGATATGCTGGAAAGTAGAATTATCCGATATTAAAGGTCTCCCTAGTACAGTGCTTATTTATTACATTATTCATTTAGCATAGAGCTAAAATTATTCAAGTACTCCCATGGATCTAGTTTAGTTTATAAAAAGTTATTTCTTTAAAGTACACAGAATGACATCACCATTCCCAAAACCAGCCCCGAGATAATTTCTGAAAGGTGTCTATTAAAAGACATAAGATATTTTCTGGAAATGGAGACCAATTCAAATTTATCCAACCTCATCTAACAGAGTACCAAGTTACTTTTTCAAAGTAGTTGAACATCTTTTATTACTTACACAGAATCAAAAAGAGAACTTCTAGAAAATATGCAGTCATAGTTTACAGATAGGGTTAACCAGGTGAAATAGCAACAAGGAATTTTCTCATGGAGTCACAGACTTAACAGAATTCTAGAGTTAACAGGGACCTTAAAGGTCATCTACTCCATAAACTGAGGCCCAATATGATAAATGACTTGTTCAGAATTGTTCACGCCACAACTAGAACTACTAGACCCTTTATGACTCTTATTACTAGGGATAAATTAAAATTAAAATTAAATATCTGACTGACACTGAAAACAGCGGTCTTGCCCAGAAAGCAGAGTTATTGTCTTAGTTCAGGATACATGCTCTAGATTAAGAACACAAAACTAATATCCATTTATATCAGAAAACAGGGAGAGGACAGAGATTAGGAAACAATACTGTCCTATCATCCCTGGTAATTCTATTTAGCTGCCCACTCAGGTACTCTCCAGCCTTATTTGTGAAACTGGTTCAACTCTGGAGAATTGTTAGCCAATTTTAGTCACACTTTGAAAAATACAAAAAGTATCCTTTGTGAACCACCTTTTTTTTTTTTTTTTTTAAATTTAAATAAGACGGAGTCTCGCTGTGTTGCCCAGGCTGGACTGCAGTGGCGCAATCTTAGCCCACTGCAATCTCTGCCTCCTGGGTTCAAGCGATTTTTTCCTGCTTCAGCCTACCGAGTAGCTGGGATTATAGGCGCCTGCCACCACACCCAGCTAATCTTTTTGTATTTTTTTTTTTTTTTTTTTTGAGACGGAGTTTCGCTCTCGTTACCCAGGCTGGAGTGCAATGGCGCGATCTCAGCTCACCGCAACCTCTGCCTCCTGGGTTCAGGCAATTCTCCTGCCTCAGCCTCCTAAGTAGCTGGGATTACAGGCACGCGCCACCACGCCCAGCTAGTTTTTTGTATTTTTAGTAGAGACGGGGTTTCACTATGTTGACCAGGATGGTCTCGATCTCTCGACCTCGTGATCCACCCGCCTCAGCCTCCCAAAGTGCTGGGATTACAGGCTTGAGCCACCGCGCCCGGCATCTTTTTGTATTTTTAGTAGAGACAGGGTTTTACCATGTTGGCCAGGCTGGTATCAAACTCCTGACCTCAGGGGACCCACCCACCTCAGCCTCCCAAAGTGCTAGGATTACAGGCATAAGCCACCACCCCAGCATGTGAACCAACTTTTATCACCTCCAGTTCCAGAAACTAAATAATAATTTGGATAGTTTACCATAAATTCTGAAAATAAAAAAAAAAGTTTTAAAATTATTAAGACATCATTTTACCCTTTTAAACTAGAATTGCTATTATTTTTTGGAGGAAACAAGCACATAATTTTTAAATCATTCTAATCACTAATTGAGTCATTGTGACTATATAAATATTTCACTTGTACTGACTAAAGATAAAAACTTTGGGGTATATGTTCATGGTAACTTTCAAGATATTTTCATTAAATGTTTAATAGATGAAAATAAATTTCTGTTATTGTTATTACCTATTTTAGAAATCCTACATCTAAATAAATTTTAGAAATCCTACATCTGAGTAAATGAATAAATAAATAACTGAATTATTTATTCAGTTGTAGGATTTCTAAAATAGGTAATGACAACAATAACAGAAAAAGAATAGCCCCTGAAAGGTGTCTCTGGCCTCCTCTAATTGTGACTATCTTACAAAACACTGTATTAAAAGTTTAATGTTACTCATAAAGATAAAATAGTTTTTCTTTTCTTTTCTTTTTTTTATTTTTTGAGACAGGGTCTCACTCTGTCACCCAGGCTGGCGTGTAGTGGTGCAATCACGGCTCACTGCAGCCTTGATCTCCTGGGCTTAAGCAATCCTCCTGCTTCAGCCCCCTGAGTAGCTGGACTACACAGGTGTACATCACAATACCTGACTAATTTTTGTATTTTTGTAGAGATGAGGTTTTGTCATGTTGCTCAGGTAAGTCTTAAACTCCTGGACTCAAGTGATCCGCCTGTCTTGGCCTCCCAAAGTGCTGGGATTACAAGCGTGAGCCACTGTACCCAGCCAATAAATAGTTTTTCTAAAATTGAAATACAATCATTACTATTTGAAGTTCTGAATTATCTTGCTTAGGGGTCTCCTTGGTTTACTATATAATTGTGGGCAACCATTCCAGATATTTCTTTCTTTCTTTTTTTTAGGCGGAGTCTTATTCTGTCTCCAGGGCTGGAGTTTAGTGGTGCAATCTTGGCTCACTGCAACCTCCGCCTCCTGGATTCAAGCAATCCTCCTGCCTCAGCCTCCTGAGTAGCTGGGCTTACAGGTGCCTGCCACTACACCCAGCTAATTTTTTGTATTTTTGGTAGAGATGGGGTTTCACCATGTTGACCAGGCTGGTCTCGAACCTCTGATCTTCCACCTTGGCCTCCCAAAATGTTAGGATTACAGGCGTGAGCAACCCTGCCCAGCCCTAGATGTTTCTAAGTTGTGCAAATGTTCAAATAAAGCTTTTTAAAAAGACTAATCTCTTTTCTATTTTGATCTTCCTAAATTTAGTAAACTTTCTAGTCTCTGAAAGCAGTTTGAATACAAACAAATCTCTACTGGCTTATGGTCAATTTATAAACATATAGTAGCCAGAAGCATGTAGCTGCAGAGACAGTTCTTAGAGGCTAATCACCTACTGGTGGCTCCAAATGGTTCCTATAGTTGGACTGGGTAGCCTACATGACTTAAAAAAATAAATAAATATTTGATTACAAATGCCTGAAAGCAGCAATTAATTTAGTGAGGCACCAAATCCAAATTTCAGCTCTGAAGCTTTCTCTCAGATACAGAATATTAATACATAAAAACATTTATTCTCTCCATTTTCACAATTGGTCACGTAGACAAAGTACTCACTCCTTCTCCTGTGGGGATTTGTCCATTGATGTTAAGAGTTCGGAAGGGGGAGTGAGTGGATAAGCGTTTATCCCATTCACTAGGCCGTGGTTCTGGTACAGACTCCATGAAGTTCTTTTTTAGCTCACTGATGCTGGCATGATGTTTTTTGATCTCCTCTTGACTCTTGTCTAAATCCTACAGTTGAAAGGACAAAGATGCAAAACAATGCATAACCAGGACAAGAAATACACCAAGGGCAATCCATCAGAGACTGGGCACTGGTAGAAAACACACCACATCCAGGACAGATGTTACTAATCATAAACTGCATTCAAATTATAAATATACAACATGGTATATTTGCTTGCCTTTTTTTTTTCTTTAAATAAAGTGCTTTTCTTGGAAGCTGTGAAGTATCACAACTCCATAGCTGTTAGCAGTTATATAACCCATAAAGAGCTCACGCATTAATTTATGATTCTTCTTCCCATTATGACGCAGCACCAGATCTCTAACTCCTCATCCCAAGAAGGTAATTCCACTACTCAATTAGACTCACCTTGATAAGTTATTTTAGGCTCAGCTCAGCAGGATGGAGATAGCAATAGATAAACTGTTTAATGAAGGCATGGTGAAACATATGACTTCCACCATTGGCTATCTTGTCTTGTTGAGTTGCAAACATGCTGTACCCTTCTATTTCTACCTAGAAATGGTTTTACTTCTCTATTACTAGGTGGTTGTTTTTGCTTTTTAAGGAACAAGAATAGCCCTTTTTTGATATAAGAATATATTACTGAAATTCCTAAAGACTCCAAAGCAGACTGTTACTATCTCTGAAAAATCACTCAGAGGTACATAATACAATGCCTTTTTTCTTTGTCAATAATATGCACATAAACTAAAAGTGTTAGGCTTTCTAGCTTCTAACAGCTTCACTTCATTCCTTAGTACAATTCAAAACAGGGACTTCTTCCAATAACCTTCAAAGGATTGGGAGTGAGTTAATAAGAGTTCACAAAATACCTGAGATATCTCCTTGACAATTTAAAATAATTCAACTGCTCCAGCAGATTAAAAAAATTTTTTTTTTAATTTTTGTGGGTACATTGTAGGTGTAGCAAATTTGAATACTGGGCAACCTGAGGTTCAGGCAAGCTATTAAAGGGACATACCAGGGAGAAATGAACAAAGTTTAGGTTAATAAAGCATGAGCTAGAAATAATATTCAGGTTTACGTAAAAGGAGGCATGTAACAACTTTCAAAAGGGGACTTGGCCAAAAATAGTCTGGTAAATATAACTTGAAGACAAAAACTCAAATGTTCTTTGTCCAACAACACTTCAAAAAATCTTAAAAGATCTATGCTTGAGATCAAAACATGTGGGAGCCTATCACTTGATGACTGTAAAAAATTCTGTTTATTATACATCAAGGCAGCTCTGTATCCAAGAAAAGCATAATGCTAAATACATCTCCTAATATGCTAGGTGAATTGTGGGATTAATCTTTCTTTTTTAGCTCTGTAGGAAACAGCTGTATTGGAGTAAAAAATTAGAATTCTCCCTGGTAGTCTAGTGGTTGGGATTCAGAAAAAAAAAAAAAAAATTAGAATTCACTTAAATCAAAATTTGTTTATAAGCTCTTTTCTGAGGGTAATATAGATTTTAACTAAATAAAACTTTTCCAAAAGCAATGTCAAAGGGAAAACAACGTAAGAAGAATAATCAGTGAGATGATTTTGATTCTGGAGATATTCATTCAGAAAATTCATTAACTAGTCTATTCTTTTTATTTTTGCAAGACTGAACCATGTATACCTCCTTTGAGATCAAACAGAAAGCTAACTCCAAAAGGGTGATCCTGTAGCTACCCCAGAAGAGCGTTTTGCTTGCTGGGATGAAATGTGAGTATATTTATGAATATGGACTTCACTGTAGGGGAAACAACAGTTTGCACTTTTGTTCTAGCTGAAAGAAAGAATGTCTACTAACTAAAGAAAAGCATGAACAAGCCCATTCAAAGACTCAGTGTTGGACTGAGCAACCAGAGCCACCCAGCATGTAAGGCCTTGTGACCCAGCTCCTCACTGGAAATTAAATCTGTTTGGGCCAAGAACAACTTAATACATTCGGGAGGGTTAAAAGTGTGAATGGAGCAAAAAAAAAAAAAATAATAAGCAAGAGATGCTATGTAAAACAATACCTCTCTGAGTTAACCTTTTAACTTGTGATTTGCTACTCTTCTTGCCTAGCTTTGGATTGGCTTGGAACCTGAGAAAATAAATGTTCTGGTAAAACCAGTAGCTTCTGAGGGAGCTTTCTCCATCCTTCTTAGCTGGTTTTGTTAGAAACCTGTGGGGGCACAGAGTAAAATTAAGATCTCAAAGGGACCTGTTCCAAATAGAATTTGTCATAGACAACTTGCTACAGGTTCTCTCTGGGAGATGGAGGAGGAGGCGGTAGCTCTAAAAATGAACTCGACCTTATTTGTGCCAGAACAAAGCATTAGTGGGGGCGGGGTAGGAGAAGGGGGAGGTGGGATGCTTAGGAAAAAAAAACCTGCTAGAGTGACAGATAACTTGAGAGAACTTCTTTAGAAGGGGAAAAAATTTTATAATAACTAAAGAATGATGGTCAAATTACTTTGGCTGTGTTCAGGTTAGACACTTTTTGATGCCTATCATTTCATAATTTTAGCAGCAACCAAACACTTCATTAAATATAAAATGTTCTCAAAAGACAGTTAGTAGTTTTAATTTTCAAACACACTTATTTAGAAATCCCCTCTCATGGCTGTCAATGAAATGCTGAGGGAAAAACACATCACACGCAGGGACTTTGTGACTCTCAGAAGCCATAACACACCTCATGGAACAAACAACAAATATATGATTGGTACTGCAGGTTCCAGTTAAGAGGAAGTACTGAAGATGAACTAGTCAAGAAATATGGATGTTTAGAATTTCAAGATATTACACTGCCAAATACAGGAAATCAACCAACATTCACTATTCTTCCTAGTCTCTGAAGATGGAACTACTCAGGTCTAGTTTAAGATATGGGTGAAAACAAAGAGATCTAGTTGCTAAGTTTGAAATATCTGACAGTCCAGCCTTGGAAAACTTCATGTTAAACAAGACAAATATATGTGAAACACTTGGCATTGCACCCACCATGCAATAAATGTTTAATAAAGGCTGGGCATAATTTTCTGAAAGTACTTGATACATAACAGGCACTCAAAACACAGATATTGATAAAGAATAAGATGAGGTTTAAATAATTATTAGAGGCTATATATTAAGTCAGAGATCTGGTTTTTAAAGTTTAGGCTGGGTCCAGTGGCTCAAGCCTGTAATCCCAGCACTTTGGGAGGCCGAAGCAGCAGGATCACTTGAGTCCAGGAGTTCAAGACCAGCCTGGGCAACAAATTGAGATCCTGTCTCTACCAAAAATGTAAAAATTAGCTGGGCATTGTGGCATGCACCCGTAGTCCCAGCTACTCAGGAGATTGAGAGGAGCCTGGGAGGCTGAGCTGCCATGTCAGAAAACAATATTAAAACTCCTATAGTAGACAGCATGTTGCTATTTCTGAGTGGAAAATAGTGTAGTTTAATAGAGTTGGATAGATCCTAACTCACATCTTGGCTTTACCAGTTCTGTGACCATAGGGAAATTACTTAATTTCTTTGAGCTTCAATTTTCTCTTTTTTTTTTTTTTTTTAAGAGATGGAGTTTCGCCATGTTGGCCAGGCTGGTCTTGAACTCCTGACCTCAAGTGATCCACCCATCTCGGCCTCCCAAAGTGCTGGGATTACAGGCATTAGCCACCGTTCCCAGCCCGATTTTCTCATCTTTAAAACAATCTCCTACTCACAGGCCTGTTTTTATGATTAAACTATCTTATAGTAACTACTCAGTAAATGCTAGGCTTCCCTCTTTCCTTCTTATTATATTTTGCTTTTTTCCCCCCACAGTTCTTCTGTCATTTTTTTTTCTTCTGTCATTTTTCTACTATCTCCAATATTTTAAGTCCATTCCAAATTCCCTACTTTTTCACACTATCTTAGTTCAGAAAATGAAAGAATAGTGCAAATTTGCATTTGGGACAGATGCAAGCTTATACTCTTGAAAAATTAAAGGAACTTTTAGCAATGATGTAGAATTTTCTAAAGGTGCGTAAAATAATGGAACCATGAGAGACAGAGGTAGTCCCAATCATATATTTTACCAGGTTAAGTATGATAGATGGAAACTAAAAAGAATCAGAAGGCGAGATGTTTGCATATCTTCATGTTCACCAACATGCAAAAGCATTTTAAACCTAAAGTTCCTTCATGCAATGGCATGCAAAACCAAATGCAGCACAGAATGAAGAAAAGGGGATCAGCAAAGAATGCAGAAGGTTCCAGGCAACCAACTGAAATAAGCTTCAAGTTCATACAAACCTCCAACATTAAATTGCTATGTCTGATATAAATGTTTTCACCATCTAGTCTTTCTCTTTTTTTCTGTGAAAATGAAAGGGGGGAAAACAGAAAAGCATAACAAATTAAAATGTTGTTCTTGCGGGAAAAAACTGAAAACTGGCAAACCAAAAAATATTTCAAATTAAACGTCCATAGCACAGCATATGCCAACATGAAGTGGTCAGAGAATCACAAGGACACACAGAGGACATGATTACCATGAGAAAATGATGACCTTGTTCATGAATGATGAAAAAATGTGATGATGTTATTTAAATAGACAGTGCTCCTGGCTTCATTGGCTTCTTATGTAACAAGCCGTTTTATGTTCATTTTTGAAATTAAACTGTTTGAGGGTTACCTTAAAACATATGACTTAAAAAAATGCTGAAATTCTATGTACCATGGAGTGAAGAAATGCTTTAAAAACATTATTTAGCTTTTGGGATATATTTCATACTTAGCAACACTGCAGTATCTAGATCTCTAATACCTTTTATAAGAAAGATGATCATTTTATATATGATCAGCCAATAAATATATTTAGTTAACTGATTTAAACTGATTCATCCCACTCTATAGATGAAAAGAATGAGACACAGAGAAGTCAAACCCATAGTTATAAACTGGTAGTTGCTGCTAAAGTGGGTGTTTTTTTGGAGACAGGGTCTTACTCTGTCACCTACGCTGGAATGTAGTGGTGCAGTAGTGGCTCACTGCAGCCTCAACCTCCTGGACTCAAGTGATCCTCCTGCCTCAGCCTCCCAAGTAGCTGGGACCACAGGAGCACATCACCATGCCCGGTTAATTTATTTTTATTTTTGGAAGAGACGGGGCCTCCCTATCTCTTGCCCAGGCTGGTCTTGAACTCCTGGGCTCAAGGGATCCTCTTGCCTTGACCTCCCAAAGTGCTGGGATTACAGGTATGAGCCATCTGTAATCCCAGCTATGATGATTTTCATTTTATGATAAATGTGTATAAAATATTATCAATGATTCCAAGAATATGATGTCATTGTGAAATAGTTCTTATAAATGTTAAATATAAAAGATAGGTTTGACTCTCACTAATTATTTCATTTTGCTTAAAAAGATATTTTGCTACTGAAAAGTTTAATGAAACTTTTCAATATACAGTACAGGATTATGCCTTCTTCAGTGTATGCAAATATATGTGTATATACATATCTGTTATTTGTTTTGGGGTTTCTTTCTTTTTTGAGACAGGGTCTTCCTCTTACTCAGGCTGGAGCACAGTGGCTCAATCTCAGCTCACTGCAACCTCTACCTCCTGGGTTCAAGCGATTCTCATATCTCAGCCTCCCAAGTAGCTGAGATTAAAGTTGTGCACCAACACACCTGGCTAATTTTTGTATTTTTAGTAGAGAAGGGGTTTCGCCATGTTGTCCAGGCCAGCCTCAAACTCCTGACCTCAAGTGCTCTTCCTGCCTTGGCCTCCCAAAGTGCTGGGATTATAGGCGTGAGCCAATGTGCCTGGCCCAAATCCATTATTTGAAAGTATTGACTCCTGATTAAAAGAAATCAATGAAAAGAATGGATCACTGTCTTTTTAATGCATTGTAAGTCGGCATGGGTGAAATGGCAATGTAGTTTTATGAAAGAGAAAAATGGCTAACCTTCCTCATTCTTATCAGATCTTCAGTTTTTTCTGCAAGCTTCTGTTTTGCCATAATTTTAAAAAGACAGAAAAATGATAAAAATGTTGCTCATTGAAGTTTGTTTGAACCTTCATTTTATAATTTTTTTTTTTTTTAAGGAGAAGGGAGTAAGGGAGAAGGAAAAAACTGAGGCAGTGGAGGGAAAAAGGAATAAGTGGCCTGCTGGCACAAACCTGTGTTTGGTCACCATTTGAGGTGGGTACTGTCACCTCGATGTGGGATTTTTCCACCTACATTTAAGAAATAAAGTAGTAAAAAAATTTTAGGTTAGTAGGTTTCTATGAATAGTGTTGTTTCCAAATAAGCTGCATCTTTAAGCTAGTTGTGAAATATGCTGACATGTAATCATCATGATGCAGTCTTGTGGAGGGTGCTACAGGGAAGGCTATTACTCCCAAAAGTCATCTGTGTTTACCATCACATTTTCAAGGGCAAAAAAGGTAATATGGATATCCAAATTATCAAAAAAGAAAATTAAGGTAAGCATTCTATTGTTGAAGAAAATACATTTTTATATTTAAAAACAGTACCCACTAAAAAGAATAATTTAGGCCTATTTAATGCAATAGACATGTTTGTGTTTTGCCTTTGAAAAATGATTTGGGCTGGGCATGGTGGCTCACACCTGTAATCCCAGCATTCTGGGAGGCCAAGGCGGGCAGATCACAAGGTCAGGAGTTTGAGACCAGCCTGACCAACATAGTGAAACTCCGTCTCTACTAAAAATACAAAAATTAGCTGGGCATGGCGGCACACGCCTGTAATCCCAGATACTCAGGAGGCTCAGGCAGGAGAACCACATGAACCCGGGAGGTGGAGATTGCAGTGAGCTGAGATTGTGCTACTAAACTCCAGCCTGGGTAACACCAAGACTCCGTTTCAAAAAAAAAAAGATCCGGAAGTACTTTAAATAACAATTAATTAGCAAATTTACACATGAAGTTTTCAATGTATGACATATATGATAGGAAGAAAAAGAAAATCTTTACAGTTAAAGCACACATGTAATAAACCACATATGACACCAAACTGGTAAACACAAAGGATTTTGTTAGTTAATCAATATACTTAAGGAGGTACTTCATTCTTCAGTTTATTACACAACAAAACATTACCATAAACCCAATTTAAATTGTAACTAACACATGCAATTACTCCCAGGACTGGTTTATAAACAAGCACATGCAGGATTCAGCGGCAACATTCAACATATTGCAATCTCTTCTAGGGAGTTGGAACCTATGTGTTTGGTAGAAGAGCAAGATTCATCCTTAATAATAATAGAAAGAGAATAGCTAAGGTCTCCTGCCTTGCTTTGAAATACCTTTAGTAATGTCATTTTATATGTAGAAAATGGAGTAATTAATTTTTTTTTTTTTTTTCCCTAGACAGAGTTTCGCTCTTGTTACCCAGGCTGGAGTGCAATGGCACGATCTCGGCTCACCGCAACCTCTGCCTCCTGGGTTCAGGCAATTCTCCTGCCTCAGCCTCCCGAGTAGCTGGGATTACAGGCACGCGCCACCATGCCCACCTAATTTTTTGTATTTTTAGTAGAGACGGGGTTTCACCATGTTGACCAGGATGGTCTCGATCTCTTGACCTCGTGATCCACCCGCCTCGGCCTCCCAAAGTGCTGGGATTACAGGCTTGAGCCACTGCGCCTGGCCTGGAGTAATTAATTTTAAGAAACCATACTATTAAGAGGGAGCATATTAGAGTGAGCAATGCCCAAAGCATTGGATATTTTAAATTAAAAAATTGATTGTTTTTACTAAGGGCTAAATCACTTTGTGTCACTAAGTTCTTTACAGAACCTGATCAATCTCTGGTGTTGATATTCTTTTTAATCACACTAAGCAGCATTACTTTGGAGTACAATGTCATTGTGCTATTTTCTCTAAATTGAGTCTAAAAAACCTAACAGATCACCAAACTTTGTGACAAAATCAAGTATTAAGCACATCCTGCTACCACACTTTAATTATCAGGGGTAATTAATGATTTTGGGTCATTTCTACACTGAGTCCCAGCATACTTGCTGTGTGGTCATTAACATGTTTTTCTACCCCAGACCTTAAATTTCTTATGGATAAAATGGAGATAATGTCTTTCTAGAATTGTACATTTAGCAAGTGGTAGTGTTAAATTATTTTACAAAGCTTAAATTCCTTCTTCAAATGAGTAATTACTTCTTTTTGCTTCAGATCCTTATCAATCCAATAGCAGAAAACTGAGAGCCTCTACTTCAGTTTAAGAATTGAGGCCAGCCGGGCGCGGTGGCTCAAGCCTGTAATCCCAGCACTTTGGGAGGCTGAGGCGGGTGGATCACGAGGTCGAGAGATCGAGACCATCCTGGTCAACATGGTGAAACCCCGTCTCTACTAAAGATACAAAAAATTAGCTGGGCATGGTGGCACGTGCCTGTAATCCCAGCTACTCAGGAGGCTGAGGCAGGAGAATTGCCTGAGCCCAGGAGGCGGAGGTTGCGGTGAGCCGAGATCGCGCCATTGCACTCCAGCCTGGGTAACAAGAGCGAAACTCCATCTCAAAAAAAAAAAAAAAAAGAATTGAGGCCAAGTAGCAATAGTAGTTCTGTCTATGACCCTACATAGAACATTAAGTGAGATAACAATATACATGGGGGAGATAGTACCTACCACAGTACTTTCAGAATAGATCTCGTTAAAGTGACAACAAAAAGCTATCTCTATCTGGCACCAAACTAATGTCAGATAATGAAATTTACACAGATACAAGGCTACTTTATCACTGTTATTGCTTTATATAATAAAGATGGCTTCATGTAAATGTCAGTTTTTTTTTCCCCCCTTTTTGAGACAGAGTCTCGCTCTGTCACCCAGACTGGAGTGCAGTGATGTAATCTTGGCTCACTGCAACCTCCACCTCCCAGGTTCAAATGATTCTCTGCCTGAGCCTCCTGAGTAGCTGGGATTACAGGTGTCTGGTACCAGGCCAAGCTAATTTTTGCATTTTTAGTAAGACAGTGTTTTGCCATGTTGTCGAGACACAGGCTGGTCTCGAACTTCTGACCTCAGATGATCCACCCGTCTTGGCCTCCCAAATTGCTGGGATTGGTGTGAGCCACCATGCCTGGCCACTATAGTTATTTTCTAACTGCTCAGAGTCACCCTTAATTCTGCCACTATTATTACAGTAATAGGTTATCAGAGGTGGCATTCAGTCTCATTTCAATACAAGTATCTCAAAACATATATCTGTGTAGAATTAATTGGCAACAAGACCCCCTATCTGGCACTTAAAATGGAAAGCATATACCAGGTAGTGATCTCTTCACTCTGCTAAGTTCCCAAGAGCAAAGGGAGTCTACTGTTGAAGATATTTATGTCTATGTTACACGGAAAAAGGAGAACAAGTAAGTTAGCAGAAGCCAGAGGAATCGTAGGCACTAGGAAGATTCCCCTGACCATTCCAGTAATCCAATCCGACACTTTTTTTTTTTTTTTGAGACGCAGTTTCGCTCGTTTCCCAGGCTGGAGTGCAATGACACGATCTCGGCTCACTACAACCTCCACCTCCTGGGTTCAGGCAATTCTCCTGCCTCAGCCTCCCGAGTAGCTGGGATTACAGGCACGCGCCACCATGCCCAGCTAATTTTTGTATTTTTAGTAGAGACGGGGTTTCACTATGTTGACCAGGATGGTCTCGATCTCTTGACCTCGTAATCCACCCGCCTTGGCCTCTCAAAGTGCTGGGATTACAGGCTTGAGCCACCGCGCCCGGCCAATCCAACACTTTTTAGTTAGTATAGCAAATGGAGGGATAGTCACAGGTCCTGGTGAGATATTCTAACATTAAAAACTGAGGAGGTAATCTAACATTAAAAAGGCATTGTTGACACTGAACCTGATGACCAATGTCATAAATATCTGGCTAGGTATAAAAATGCAAACATGTACCACTCACTCAATTGGTTTTTCTCTCTGGACTCAAGGTAGTGCCAAATGGACAGTAAAACTGTATGTCATATTTAGCAGTTTGTTTATTTATTATTACTTTTTTGAGCCAGAGGCTTGCTCTGTCACTCAGGCTGGAGTACAGTGGTGCAATCTTGGCTCACTGCAACCTCTGCCTCCTTGGTTTGAGCAATTCTTCTGCCTCAACCACCCCAGTAGCTGGGATTACATGCACCTGCCACCACGCCCAGCTAATTTTTATATTTTTAGTAGAGACGGGGTTTTACCATTTGAGGCAGGGTCTCATTTTGTCACCCAGGCTAAAGTGCAGTGGTGCAATCTTAGCTCACTGAAGGCTACTCAACCTCTCAGGTTCAAGTTATCCTTCTGTCTCAGTCTCCCAAGGAGCTGGGACTACAGATGCATATCACCATACCCAGCTAATTATTGCATTTTTTGTAGACATGGGGTTTTGCTATTTTGCCAAAGCTGGTCTTGAATTCCTGGGCTCAAGTGATCCACCTGCCTCACTCTCTCAAAGTGCTAGAATTACACCTGGCCTGACAGTTTTTTTTTTTTTTTTAAATACAATCAAAACAGAGTTAGATTGTCTACTGCTCTAGAGATAAACTAGATATTAATCTGGCTCCAAAATAACAGGATTAATACATCTGCCAAAGAGAGGACACTTGCTAAGATCTTATACAGTTTTAAATTTAAAAAAAATTTCTTAACAGGCATACAAAAATGTAATTCTTATGTAGATTTCTTCTCATAATTCCTGTTGCCAACAGTAAGACCTATATTTATTTCAATAAATCTGAGCTAGCACCTCGACTCTATCACTGCTTAAATGTGTTTAAAAAGCTTAACATATAAAAGGTCAGTGTAGTCACTGTCTGGGAAATCTGTTAATTAAATTGGTGATTTTTCAACACAGTACAGTAACTGTGGGTACAATTAACTCAGAATCATATGCAACTCAGCAGTATAACCTCTTCTACATAATGGATCTTCTCCTTTTTGTAAGGCTACTTAAGATTTGAGCAACCACATAAATGTGCTTTAAGTAATACCTGTTCTTTAGAAATGTGCATACATCCATCTTAGAAAATAAAATTATATTTTAATCACAATAGCAGAGCTTAGTCTTAAAAAGCAATGTGGAGATTCCCTCTAGATGAGTAAAAATTATTTTAAAAAGCAGAGGATCAATCATACTGGTGTGTTTTATAAGTTCATTTTAAAAAATACTAAGTTGGGTCAAGGTGTGGGTCACCTTGTAACTTCTGAGATAGCTTACAGTCTTACTGACACACTCTATGAAAGTATTTTACAGGTTCATGGGAGACATCTTCATTTAGAAAGAATGAGGAATAACTTTATTAGGAGTCTACAAGAATAAGCAATTGCTTTGAAAGCCTTCCTGGTCCAAAAGTTAAGGCCTCTAAACCACAAAGTGAGTTAGCCAGGTATTCGGACTGATGACATACCTTCCATGCTTCTGTGGGCTCTGGCTCAGCTTGCTCAGGTGGCTCTTCTTCCTTTTTCACTTCAGCTTTCACTATTTCCTTCTGTGCTTTAGGTACCCCTGTTTTTTTAGCAGAGGCACCTGGGATGCCGCCTTCTGCGACCTGACTCTCAGCAATGGCGGGTGCAGAAGTGGGCCGAGGACTTCGATCTGCCGAATCGACAGCTGCTGCTGTGTGAGAAAGGGAAAAGGGAAGAAAATGTAAAGGCCAGAGCTACTGTATTATTTCAAACTCACCAGGCAAAATAATTGTGAACTCAGAATACATACGAATGTTACAACATTTCGTGGGCTATCATATAGAGAGTAAAAAATAAATCATTAGTGCTCTGCCAAGGAACTGATAAAAACAAGAAAGTTAAATGTAACCTCAGTAGAAAGGCTAAAATGTGTTAATGATCACATTCCATGGATGCAGAATTCAGGGGAGACAAGATCAAAGAAAATAAATAGAAAATCCATTTATCTTGTAATTTTAGTTTCAAAAGCCTACAATGTTGTCTATGGTGGGAGAAAAAAAGGGTTAACTAAATCTGTTTTCTTCCATGAGGCCTTTTAAAAATAAAGATCTGTTCATTTTTAGGTTTAGAAACCTAAAAATATATTGTAGGAAAAAAGAATTAAGCCTGATTTCTTCTGTAAGCCTCCTTGGAATCATTACAAAATAACTTGATAAATAGCTCTTCTGGTAAGACAGGACTACTTTCTGATGCTTGTAAGGACGAATCTTTGAACCAGATGCTATCCTTTTTAATAGTAAATCATTTGATCAAAATAAAATCTTTTGACTGTCAGTCCTCAAACCTAAACAAAAATATCTTTTGAGTTCTGTCCTACTATCTGTCAGTCTTACCAATTTGTATTACAGCTCTTATTCTCTACTATATTTAGGGCAGTAGTTCTCAACTGGGGTAAATTGTCCCCAGAGAATATTTGGCAATGTCTGGAGACATTTTTGGTTGCTGCAACTGAGGAGGGGGGAGAAAGGAGGTACTGGCATCTAGTGCATAGAGGCTAAAGTTACTGAGGTTGAGAAACCTTAAGTTAGGAGAAAAGCCGTATAGACTGTTTTAGAAAGAATAAACTACATAGGCTTATGATAAAAGCTCAATCTTTTCAAAGAGCTAATTGTTGTTTTACGATACTTTGTATCTAAGTTTTAGACAGCTTACTTCAATACAATCACTCATACTTTTTATGCTTTTTATGTTCATTCTTTCAGGGATACAAAACATTTACACTTTGTAATAAAAGTTCACTTGCCTGACAGTATCTAGGAATGAAAGTATTTTCCTACGTGATTTGGTATTTCTGATAACATATCATTATCCTCTTTTGTACTCAGACTTTTAATCAATTTGCATGGAAATCAATAATTTTTATTATATGCTTTCCTGCATTCTTAAACTGATTATAACTGAACATAATTCATCCTGAAATTTTTAGATTTATAAACTGTAAGGGTCGGTTACAGGAATTCCACAAATCTGAACAGATAAAAACGTAAGATTTGCAACTACTTCATACCACAGTATTAACAAAGAAATCTTGGCTGGGCGCGCTGGCTTACACCTGTAATCCCAGTACTTTGGGAAGCTGAGGTGTGTTGATCACCTGAGGTCGGGAGTTTGAGACCAGCCTATCAATGTGGCGAAAACTCATCTTTTACTAAAAATATAAAAATTAGCCAGGTGTGATGGCGGGCACCTGTAGTCCCAGCTATCGGAAGGCTGAGGCAAGAGAGTCACCTGAACCCGGGAGGCAGAGGTTGCAGCGAGTCGAGATCATGCCACTGCCCTCCAGCCTGGATGACAGAGCCAGATTCCATCTCAAAAAAGAAAGAAAGAAAGAAAGAAAGAAAGAAAGAAAGAAAGAAGGAAAGAAAGAAAGAAAGAAAGAGAAAGAAAGAAAGAAAGAAAGAAAGAAAGAAAGAAAGAAAGAAAGAAAGAAAGAAAGAAAGAAATGCTCATTACCCTGTTGTGATTTCCAGTGAAATAAATAATTCCTTAGAGGATATATAGGAAAAACAGCAGAAATTCAAGAATCCCATTTATCTTTCCATGAAAAATCTGTGGCCTCTTGCACAGATTGTCACTACTAGGTTAGTAGTAATAACTCTGGATTAGCACAGAGCTACTACTAATGGGTGCTTAAGCAGTCACTGCAAGAATGGCAGATGGCAGACTAAACCTGACAACACAGGGGAATGTGACAAAATATTTTGCTCACAGTTGTGTTAAAGTATCATTATACATGTATATTCACACCTCCTCTCAAAGAATTAATTCAACTATGCCTGGCATCATAGAAACATAGCCCATGCTTTCACCATGTGTTATTTTGCCACTTGTCTTTGGTTTTAATTGCAGAGCCAAATGATTTATGCCTTCAGCATTCCTAGCCTTGGCAATCTGTACTGTATGTGGAAAAGAAGGTATTAGTGTGGAAACTGACAGAAACAGAGCTCAGAGATTGGAAAAATAATAGCATTACAATAAAAAGCCCTGACTGTGAAAGGCTGCATGGAACAGAGGCAAAAGCCAAATCACAAGTCTTAGGTACACATTCATTTCAGTCACTTGTGACCCAAGGCATGGTGCTTAATCTTACAAACTTCAGTGTAATCATTTGTAAAATATGAAAGACATTAACTCTACAAAATAGTTGGAAAAGGGATATTCAATGGTTATAAAAATACTTTATGAAGCTTAAATATTAATAACTTCTAATGGCATACCTAAGTCCTTGTATTTCTTCTGTTGTGGGTTAATATTATTTCAAGAGTATGCTGGGAAAAAATTAATTATATGCACATGGATATGCAAGCAAGTGAAAGATACCACTTGGGAGCCCTGGAGAGAGAAACTTTCATTTTCTCAACAAGGAGACTGTAAACTGTGGATCACAAAAAATATATATCATGGTAGTAATCATGGCTTTTTTTTTAACAGCTTTTTTGAGATATAATTCACATGCCATACAGTTCACTCATTTAATGTATATAATTCAATGCTTTTTAGTATATTCACAATGTTGAGGGTAGTGACTGCTTTTTAAGGTGTGCGGGTCTTCAGTTTTATTAATTCAGTTACTAACATATATAAGATTTTGGTGCATATATAAAGAACACATAATTTTAAAACTCCAGTGTCTCCTATTTCTGAAGGTCTACACAAAGAAAATGCTGACGGTGACCCACTAACTTCAATGCTATATTGTTCTTGGCTGACAACAGAAACTTAGATAGTTACATGCCAGAGCAGTAAAGAATAAAATTCAGCCAGGCACAGTGGCTCACACCTGTAATCCCAGCACTTTGGGAGGCCAAGGTGGGCAGATCACGAGGTCAGGAGTTCGAGACCAGACTGACCAACATGGTGAAACCCCGTCTCTACTAAATACACAAAACTTAGCCAGGTGTGGTGGTGCGTGCCTGTAATCCCAGCTACTCAGGAGGCTGAGGCAAGAGAATCGCTTGAACCTGGGAGGTTGAGGATGCAGTGAGCCAAGATCATGCTATTGCACTCCAGCCTGGGCGACAGAGCTTGACTCCATCCCCCCCCCAAAAAAAAAAAAAAAAAAAAAAACCCAAACCAAAACAATAATAAAACTCCAACCATCAGACTAAGTAAAGGCAAACAATTTCTACTTCCAGCTGTTATCTACTAGCACAATCTCTGTTAGTATGCAGTAGGGTGGTTCTTTTATCGGATGACCACATGAATCATTTGCGGATCTTGAAAAACAAGATGATGATGATCAGGCCTACTCTAGTCAGATGAGCTATCTAAGAGTGAGGCTTGGGCATGTGCTTTGTTTTAAAGCACCAAAGGCGATAAGGATGTACACCCCTGGCAAGAATCACTGCAATCACTACTCACCGAATGGATGAACTACCTGGTTGTATGGCCCTTTCTTTTGTGTTCCAGTTTCCTCATGAGTAAAACAGTAATTTCTAAATGCTTTTTCTTATTCACTAAGTAGCTCATATTAAATAGAAATACATGGAAATGGTTTGAAAAGCAAAAAATGCAAGAAAAATATAAGCTGAAAAATCCTTGTCATCATTATTAGCTACCCCTGAGACTTACTATTCTATCATAAAACTGGGATCTGAATCAGTACAAAAACTGAACCAGTTTTGTACTCCAGCTGGTGAAGCAGATGCTCTGAGCACCAGACACAACAGAAGAGAAAGGGAATGCTCATTTTTATCATTAAAATGAGGCCCCTTACAAAGCAATTCTTGTAAAAGTTTCCCTGATACATCATCTCTAGCTTACAGAGCTATATTAATTTTTTGAAAAAAGAGGGGTGACTCAATGGGAAAAAAGTATCTCTTAAGGAGCATAGAGAAGTGTCTAAAAAAAGGAGAGAAAAATAGTTCCACAGACATGTTTCCAGTGTTTTTTTTTTGTTTTTTTTTTGAGACAGAGTTTCGCTCTTGTTACCCAGGCTGGAGTGCAATGGCGCGATCTCGGCTCACCGCAACCTCCGCCTCCTGGGTTCAGGCAATTCTCCTACCTCACTCAGCCTCCTGAGTAGCTGGGATTACAGGCACGTGCCACCATGCCCAGCTAATTTTTTGTATTTTTAGTAGAGACGGGGTTTCACCATGTTGACCAGGTTGGTCTCGATCTCTTGACCTCGTGATCCACCCGCCTCGGCCTCCCAAAGTGCTGGGATTACAGGCTTGAGCCACCGCGCCCAGCATGTTTCCAGTTTTTATACTGAGAAGATAGCACAAAGAGAAAAAGAAGACATTTAATAACAGAACTTGGGGGAGGGGGCAAAAATAAAACAAAATAAAATAAAATAAAAAAATAAAAACAGAACTACAAAAAAAATTTGTCCATTCAGTTTCTATGCACTGAGATTACAGGCATATTGAGTTTTATAAAAGCTTTATTAAATAAATAGTAAATTGTCTATTTATTTATTTATTTATTTATTTGAGATGGAGTTTTTGCTCTTGTTGCCCAGGCTGGAGTGCAATGGTGCAATCTCGGCTCACTGTAACCTCTGCCTCCCGAGTTCAAACAATTCTCCCACCTCAGCCTACCAAGTAGCTGGGATTATAGGCATATACCACCACAACTGGCTAATTTCGTTGTTTTTTTTTTTTTTCGGTAGAGACAGGGTTTCTCCATATTGGTCAGGCTGGTCTTGAA